CCAGAAATATCTTCGTACTCTAACTATATGGAATAGTGTGGCCAGGGCGTTGACATTAGAAGCAGAAATGATGTTCCTGAAATTAAAACTGTGGTTGATATTTTCTTTGTCAGCAACATCAGTTGCTCTCTGAAGTCACAACTTTTATTTGTGTTCATGAAGAAGAGAGAAGGAATCCTGCAGACTGCTGTCGTGGCTAAAGAACTGACCAGCACCACAGAGTAAGAGCTACCAAGACACGTTTATGAGCCTTTTTGGAAGTGCTTGTTGCCTGCAGCTGAGGAACAAACAAATTATGTAATTTCTCTCATTTGCTTTTTTTGTTGCAGAATGATGCTGGGGCGATTTGGTAAGTTAAGGAAACCCAAAACGTTGTGTAAAAAGCTTAAGTAACTAGATTATCTTGGTAACAATTTGAATTCATTTTGTTTTGGTTCTTCTTAAATGTCAAACTAGAAGTGAACACATGCTGCTTCAGTCACAGATTTAACATCTTTAATCAGATAAAGATAAAACCTTTGAGTCATCACCAGTCGGTGTTTGTACCTCCTTCAAGTCGTTTTCCTTTCCAGCAGAGCGGGATGCGTTTGACACGTTGTTGGATCATGCGCCCGACAAGCTCAATGTTGTAAAAACGGTAATAAGATCTCAGCTGAACATTAGATGTTGTTTCTAAAGCTATGTTTTTATTTTTTATTAAAGAATGTGTTGTAAAATTGCTGAACGGTTTTGGGATTCTCCCTTCAGTCCCTCATCACCTTCGTGAACAAACACCTGAACAAGCTGAACTTGGAGGTCACTGAGCTGGAATCTCAGGTATCTTATGGATATATTTTTAAAATCACATCCTATCCAATTAAGTCATGTTATTTATATATTGTCTATATTTAAAAAAAAAAAAAATATATATATATATATATATATATTACAGTGTAACTGATTTCTTTCTGTTATTCTTTTGACTGGATGACATTTTTAAAGCAAATCCCTTCACGATGTGTTATGTTTAATGTGTCCATTATACATATTTATAAGATGTTTGTATTTCCTTAGTTTGCTGATGGAGTGTACCTGATTTTGCTGATGGGGCTGCTGGAAGACTATTTTGTCCCTCTCTACAACTTTTTTCTCACCCCTGAAAGCTTTGAGCAGAAGGTTGTCTCACTTATAGAAAAGTAGAAATTAGATATGCATGTTTTTTTTTAGATGAGAAATATTAATTGCCAGCTTTGCTCCCACTTAGGTTCACAATGTGGCATTTGCCTTTGAGCTGATGCAGGACGGAGGCCTGAAGAAACCAAAAGCAAGACCAGAAGGTATTCCACCATTTCACCGCCTTAATATTACTGCAGATCAAGACTAAATTCACCTTAAAAAAATAAAACAAGACACAATTTTAATGCCAATTAATACAAATTACATGAGTTTAACTAAAAATAACTTTCTTGCTGGAGTAGTATAAACTATGCCTGTTCTGATGGAAACCTGGTTTATATTGAAAAACACAACTTTTAAGTATGGTGGAGAATCAGTGATGCTGTGGGCCTATTTCTGCAATTTGATCAAAATTTTATGGCATCTTGGACTCTTATTTTTCACTTCACTTATTTTTCTTAAAGGGTCAACGTTTTGTATTACCTACTGGATAAATGTGGAAAAGGTTTCACTGAATTAAAAGATTCATGTACTTTAAGGTTGTTTTTTTTTTGTTGTTTTTAATGCTTCTTTACCAGGGAAGTCAATAAGTGTGCAGGAAGCTGTCATTACCAGGATCGTCCAGCAGGTGGTGACCTCGGCCTAATCTGTAACCACTTGATTTATATCCGGCTGAGCTTCTCACCCTGCTTATATAAAAGATGGCACCTCAAAACTTTGCTATGACCAGCTGTTACCATGTAGATTTCATTTTTAGATTTACAGTCATAAGTATAAACCTTATAATTATTTCTAAGATCTTTTGATGTCATTTCGCTCTGTGCAGCCATAATGTAAATGTCCTTTCTCTTTCTACAAACAAATCACTACTTATCAACTCTGTTCCCAACATTTACACTAATTCAGCTCATCCCAGCTGCTGTGATTATCTTTCATCGCAAGGTTGATTATAGGCAACAAGTGAGACCCGGAACAGAGAAACGCCGACGTTAGGATGCTAAAAGCAGGCTTCGTGCAGCAACGCTGCTGTTATCTGACTGGCCCCTGGGTTAACCCAAACCCAGTTCGAATGATTAATTCAGTTTAGTGGCTTATGTAGCACACTGCGACACCTCCAAAAAAGAACAGAAACCTACTTTGTGCTTCCGAAATCCTCAGCCAGGAGTAATGCATCATACGATAATCATTTGCGAATTCTTGGATCTATTTTAGGCTGCGTTGCTGCTCCAAAAAAGTTGCAAATGGCTGTTCGAAGGAAAGCAGTCCGACGCTTATCGCGCTCCAGACTCTTAACAGGAACCTTCATGAAAGAGCAACCTAAAAGTAATTACCTCAATTGTTGCTTATGTTTCCTGCAGATGTGGTCAACCTGAACCTGAAATCCACCCTCAGAGTCCTCTACAACCTGTTCACCAACTACAAAAACTCTGACTGAACCCGTTTCCCTGGCGGTACTCTGGTCAGAGTAACTCTGAACACGCCGTAACGATCTGGGCACTGGAGGACGCCACCTGGGACTGAGAGACATCATTATCTGCAATCCGAAACCCCCCGGAGGAAAGGACAGAACAAGGCTCTTCTTTAATCATCTCCAAATGTCAGTATTTATTTATTCCTTCCTCGAAAGTTATCTGCGACTTAAGAAGCAGGGCGACCTTTAGGCTCTGCATTTGAATACAGCCGTCATGGGAAAATGACGACGCCGGAGAATGTTTGTGCTAAAGTGAACTAATTGCCTTCAGTGCTGAATATTTTTTGCTGGTATTTTCAGAAGGTGTCTGGATTTTTAAGGCGTGCAAATGCAACTGAAATTTGAGATAAAAATGTCTTTTCTCTTTGTTGCAAAAAAAAAAAAAAAAAAAAAAAGTCAGAATAGAAAAGCTTGTTGTATATTAGCTCTTCTTATATTTGCTTAGCCTATGCAAGAATCAAACCGTTAACTCTGTGAGACGTACGAGATGCAAAAGCAGTCTGTTCAAAACTTGTACTGTATGTTGTAAAAGTATGTGAATGTAATAACTGTCCTTTAAAACTCATATTTAATTAAAAATGGTACAAACAAGGCAAATCAACTTATAAAGCTGTTTTTGTTGTTGTTGTTGCCCGTTTTTTTTTGTTGTTGTTGTTGCCCGTTTTTTTTTCTTTTTCTGTTGGATAAAATTTTACGACTTGGTAACATATATGGGGTCAAAATGACTGCCGAGGTCCAAAAGTATTTGGGATAAAATACATGTGTCAAAATTAACATTTATATTCTCTCAAATAAGCACAAACATGACTCTCCTGTTAAAAACCTCTATCTGTTCAAGACGACGACTTAGTATCATGTTCGGTTAAAGTTTTTGCTTTGTCTACAAAACATTGCAGGACTACTACTACTCGTCTTGAACACCAACATGTAAAGAAGATTAAGACAATTCTCACAGTTTCTGGACTCAATATACGGATTATAGAAGAGACTGAAAGAATCAATTCCTCACGAAATACATTAAATTGTATTCTCTTGCCGGACAGTAAGGGGGATCACCCAGATTTTTTTAAGCACAAAATTCACAGCTGATTGCCAAGTAAAGCTGAATATTTTACACTGCTATGAAGGCATTATTAATGCTAATTTTTACAGAAACATTTGCTGCGACGCAGGCAGAATCATTAAGGCAAGGCTTTGTTTGTTTCTGCAGCAGTGACACACCAGAGTTAAACACTGCAAAATAAGGCTCAACTGATAAATGCAAAATATTTCAAATGAATTATCATAATAAAAACAACAAGATATTTTTTTGGTGTAAATAAAAGCCTACAAACTTTTGACAAACACGTGCAGAGTTGAACACTCAACTCCAAAATTATACCAAAGATGAACCCAATACAGGTCTAAATCATAATTGACTCGACGAAATAAAAACACGTTAAAGGAGCAAAAATAGGAAAAAAAAAAAAAGAAACCTAATTACAGTTCGCGCACCCACAGACTTGTCAGGATGAGACTTTATGCAACACAGACATGTTTCTCTGCCGTCAGAGGATATGGGAATGCCTCAGTTTGAAATTTTCTACTTAAATAATTAGTCATGCTAACATAATCACAATAATTTAGACTTGGCAGACGCTGTCAGACAAGCTAATGCTGTTTATCTGTGTAGCTTTGAGCACAAACACTGTAAATGACTGGATATGTTTTCTGTTCTAGTTTCTGAAGTTTTATAAGCTTTTTCTAGAAAGCTAGAAACAACATAATATGGTGCCTCAATTCTGCAGATATCCTCTCTAAGATGAGATAATCTATATCTCCTAGATGCTAGCTGTTCATTAGCATCTGTCTTGCCAAGGCAGATGTCACCCTAACATCCGCCTCGGCTTTATACAACAATGCCAAAAAAAAAAAAAATCCTCCGGTACCTTCAATTACAAAAGATACTTTGGCTCTTAAAATTTTACTCATTCCTGCTAAAATTTCAGGTTTTTGTGAAGGAAAGAAATGAGGCAATGATAATAATTTTCAAAATCTTTTCAAAGAAATAACTCAATATTTGTCCCGCACTTCTGAATGACAACAAATCTGCCAAAAGGAAGCATGATTAAAAATGACAACAACAAAAAAAAAAAAGAGTATACCTTTAAAACAAACACTTTGAGACTCAATTTCCATTTCCAGTCTGCATCCCTCAGGATAACATGGTAATATTTGCTCCCACTCCTGAGGGGCTGTGAGAACATTTCCTGTGTCTCCACAGATTTCAGATTTTTAGCTCGTCTCCCAAGAAGTCGCTCTTTTGTTGACTTGGACATACACTTGGATCAGGAAACTGCCAGAACCATATTTGGGTAAGTATCTTGAGATGTTAAGCACCGATTCACATCAAATCGACCTTAACGTGATTTGCTGAGAAGTTTTAGATGACATTACCCAGGCCTGGAGGAAAAAACTTTATTCTTCAGTCTGAATATACTGGCTCGCCAAACGCAGCCAGAACTTGTTGGAAACTTCTGCAGCATCTTCAGTGTTGCTGTGGATTTTTTATTTTTATTTTTGCTACCCTCCTCCAGACTGATACCTTTGTAAAATTACATTATTTTGATCTTTAGCAACCTTTCTGCAAACTGCGACGTTAGCTAAAGGCTGCAGTCAAGCAAATGTCGAGGAAGTCCTGTACTGAACTTTATTTCTGAGTCATCAGATCTAACGTAGTTGATGCTGGGCTTTAACGCAAAATGGCCGAATCCTTAAAACTGGATCAAAAACAGAGTGTAGTTCTTGCGTAAGCAGACTATTGGCAAATTTTATTATTACATTTCTCCCATCTAACAAATGTATGAGTTTCACACAATCAAAAACACATGTGAAATTCATATGTATGTATGCATGAAGATTTCAAATCTTTTAAAAGATTTACTTTTTAAATGTTTCTAAGTAGCAGAAACAGTGCGGGATACTGACCTGACCTATATATCCAGTTTTCTAAGCTGTAAAATCTGATGTTGCAATGTACCTTAAGTGCAGCGTGTTCCCCGTGTCTCAGGAGAGCCCTGGTCTGGGGCATCGTCGGGCTTTTAAATGAGCCTCGGCGGCGGTCTGGACCGCTGTCTCTGCGCTCCTCCGGTCGCTGCGGCCGCGCGGCGCTACCTGGAGACCTGCTGAAAACGCACAGAGCACGTCTGCTCAGGCATTTTCCAACCAAACTGAATAATTGAGAGAATAGATGAGTCGGTCTCGACGGAGATCTTACTGCACCTCTCAGCTGCAAGTTTTTTCTTTTTCTTTTTTCTTCCCCTCTCTTCATTTCGCCTATCAGGAGGAAATAAAAGCCTGGACTGAAACTGAAGGAGGATTTCATTTGATTCGTGTGATAGGTTAGATTTGCCTTGGCTTTTTGAGAGAGAATGGCTTTGGAACAGGTAATTCCTGCAATTTGGGTAGAGTAAAGATATTATGGATTTATTTTAGGCCTTTATTTTCTTGTCTCATACCTTTGTTGCTATGGTAACCTTCCACATCTCCCAAATTGCCCTTTCGTCTCCCTTATGGGTGGTCTGTATCCCCCCCCCCTCCTTTTCCCTCAACAATGCAACGCGCACTCACAGGTTTTCTTCCCCCACTTATTTTTGTACGCTTCAATCCGGTTTTCATTTGGTCTGATTTTTTTTTCTTTTAGCCGCTTTTGACGTGGAATTGACGAGGCTGGACGCCAGATGTCAGCAAACGGAGCCAGCCAATCACAAAGAGAGAAGTCTGAACGCTTCAGGCCTCAACAAAGTCTCGTATCCCCCAGGCTCCTGGAGGCGAAGATTTCCAAAGCAGTGCATATAGTTCTCACCTCACACGCACTTGAGTTTATCATAATCCCAAACACAGATCGTGTCACTGAACACAAACAACCTCATGTGAAAACGCTCTGCTGTAAAGCCTGTATCAAAAAAGAAAGAGGAAGTGCTACCTTCCTTCATGCCACATCCTCTCAGTTGTGCTTGTCTTCCCTTTTGACCCTCAGATGACAGTTATCTGCAGTTGGGCCTGTTGATCTCACAGAACTCATTAGTGTCTCTTTTCAGATCGGAGCGCAGCCCTCCAACTTCCTGCACCCCGGGTTTTGACGAGTTGTTTTTTTTTTTTAAGAGTCAACTTCTTGTAGAGGGACTGATTTCAGCAGAAACTCCCCCGGTCTTGTTGTGGTTGCTCTCTGGGAGCTAGCTGAAGGTAAGCTTATTCAAAAAGTCTTTATGTTTATGACCTTGTTTGAAAGTTGCTGTCAACCTCAGGAAATTGAAGCCACACATGCATAAAACACATGTGAGGTTGGGGGGGAAGAAAAGTTGCTCACGGAGGGCTTCCTCTTTTTTCCGTATCCAGGAAACTACAGCTCGACATGCTTCATGTCATGTCTGTTTTGTCAGGATGTGTGACTTTGGGCGTTCGCCGTGCTTTGTGTCTGAAACCATAGGGGTTTAAAATATTCTGAGGTAGAGGCAGAGCCATGCGACCCTGCAGGGCTCTCCAGATCTCTGCTGTGTGAGCTGCTGACAAAAAGGAAGTGAGCAAACCTGACATTTCCTATTTTGGTGTAAAGAGTTTTTGATAAGATTTAGTGAGTTATTGGAGTTTTCTTTTCTTGTTTTGTTTTTTAGAAACCACTACCTGTTTCAGATCTTTTGGTCTGAAACAGTTCGTCAGCGAAAGACTTTCATAGGTGGAACCTTTAGAGTGACTCAAATGTTTTCACACCCCTCATTCGCAAACGTCAGCGTATCTCATCAGGGCTTTTGCATTGGACCAACATTAAATACAGGAGTATCGTGAATGGAAAGAAAATGAAACTTTACAAGAACATTTGCAAGTATTTTAGGATAAATGGCTTGCTCAACTTGTCACTTCATGTGCAGAGGGGTTGATTTTGTCATGATTTGCGGTTGTTGTTGGTTCGGACCCAAAAGCAGAGAGGTGAGGCAGCGACTGAGTTTGATGATTTAATCAATATTTCTAGCAAGTACAAAAGTCCAGACAGCACAGGTGAGCAAAAGGCTAGGAGCTCAATCACTGGCAGTGTCCTAATAAGTTGGCATACCAAAGCTAATCCTAGAACAGGAACGTCGGTGTTTCTTGCGATTGGGGGGCAACAAACTACTCTGTTACAGGCAGCAACTGGTCAATTTTAACAAAACAACAACACATCATGCTCCAACGGGGGAACACAGACACAGGTGGGATTAAATACACAAGAGGTAATCAGGAAACGTCAGACACAGCTGTGAGCAATCAGGGCGGACATGACGACACAGACACTAATTAACATACAGAAAAACCAAATCCTCACAGATATGTAGTTTTGCAATACTCTTTGTGTTATTGCACATGACAGCAGACCGTTCGTTTGTCTACAAAGTTCAGTTCATTTGTGGAGGTATGAATGCGCAATCAAACTCTGATGCGGACAGAACAAAAAAAGCAAACTCTGGTTCTCCTACAAACCTCGGGTCCTGTCTCGGATGGACAGAACTCTGGCGTGGTTGAATGGCGAGCGGACCGGAGACCGCTCTGAAAGCAGGAAGCGGACTACAGCGCAGGGTATTCTGGGTAAATGCAACCAAAACAAACACTAGCGGGAGAAATGGCTTGCTGTCTTTTACCAATGTTAAAAGAGAACTCTACGAAACAACTCTACTCTGGTGGTTGGGTGCTAGCGCAGTCATTCATCCAGCGGCCCGTCGTGTTTTTGAGTTGGAAAATGTTTAAAGTTAACAGGAAATTGATAATGTGTTAATGAAAGATTGAATATTAATACCTGAACACCAACTATAAAGTCTTAAAAAATTGAGACATTTTAAAAAGACTTAAATAAGTAAGTAATGCTTAGCCTGGTGGACGCACAAGTAAAGTCTGGTGGCCTGCCAGGCTTATGATATACTGTGGGAAACCCTGCTGAAATAAAATGCACTAAAATTTGAGGCAGCAGGGTAAGAACATGTGAAAGAAAAGAAACATTTGCAAGATGCTGCAAACATTTCAACTATAAGCTGTCTGTGAGTAGAATCGACATCCTCCCTTCCAGCAAATCGATCCCCAGCAGAAACAGGAGTCAGTTTGCTATGAACACATACTAAGCCATTTCTGAAAGAGGGACTTTCTTCCAACACCCCTGATAAGAAGTGTTTCTTCATTCTGCTGCCGTTTGCATGTTCAGCTCTTCCTGAGACGGTGTTTGATTGAGAGCCTCTGACTCCTCTGCAGATTCGTGCCAACAGGTCAGCAAAGCGACCGAGCCATCCAGAGGAGGGGAGATGGAGGCCGCCGCTTTCGAGTACCACAAAAAGGAGGAAGACCTGGAGGTGGAGTCTTTTCAGGGTATGTGTGTCTTAAATGAAGTGGCAGGTTGTACCGTTTTCAGACACCCACCTGCCTGTTTTGGCCATTTTCCTTCAAACTGATTCAGGATTTCTTGTGTTTCAAATATTTAACCAGCCTTCATCTCATACTAGTTCAGTACTGGAGGCATATATAAAATTTTGTTATTGCATTGAGACTAAAATGAGGTAAAAAGGCCCTGTGGTTTTATTTTTATTTTTATTTTTGTGGTCGTAGCATGAAAATAGATGAAGACACACCATTTAAAAAAACAATACTAAACAAACAATTTAAACATTATTAAATAATTTAAAATATACTGTAGGTATTATATTTTATTCCTTCAGAATCACAAACTGGAGTTTCCCAAACAGCCTTGAGGTTGAATAAATCGGAAACATTTTCAGCCACACATCAAAAAATTCACGCGAGTGAAAAATCAACATCAATGAAACAAAAAGTGTAATTTTTCTGTATTTCTCAGTATGAGATAATGATACATAACTGAATTAATTATTATTTTTTCTATTTCTTTGTCATGGCTACTAGTAACTGTGAAGGGTGGCATGAATACATTTTTATGTCTCAATAAGTATAAATATAACAGCATTTCCACAAGTTCACATATGACTCCCTATATGATATATTTTCCATCTTGTTCCTTTTTTCATGCCTTAATGGTTTTATGAGAAGATGTTTTGACCCTCGCAACAACTCCTGACTACATGAGAAAACAGTGGTGCTGATAGTAAAAGTTGGAGGAAAAATAAAAGCCCTGCGGAGTCGAGAGATGATTTTCAGCAATCACAGTCCGTTTGGTCCTTTTTATCCATTATCCATAAAGCATTTAAGTGTATTTTTCCGGCCAAAAAGATTCCTGACAATGTAAAAAAAAAAAAAAGATTACTGAAAACGATTTCACTTCTGGCGCAGGAGAGAAGAGGAAGCTCATCCAGCCGACATCCTTGAAAGACCCCAAGCTTGAAAACCTAAAGCAGGTAGAAGATGAGTCTTTTCATCAACAGAAAAGAAAATAAATGATCTCTGATACGTATTTCCTTGCACGAGAATTTTCCTTGCCTTTTTGTAATCTCATTATGTAACGACCTCAAACTTTGACACATTTTTATTTCATTGACAGAGCGACACGTGTGAATTGGAAGTAAAAGTTATCAAAACATTTTTCTAACTTGAGATTTAAAAACTACATGAAACTACACAAAGTAATACAAATGGATGCCGTACTTTTCAGAAATTTTTTAATGTAAAAAAAAGTCATACAATTTTTTCTTTCACGTCACATTTTCTTGTCATAAAATCTCATTAACATGGATTAGATTTTGTGGTTGTGACAAAATATGGAAAAGTTTAAAGGTTATGAATTTTGACAAAGATGCCATTATATCAGAGCTTTGTAGTGTTTTAACTGAATATAAATATATGCACTTTTGCATATGAATGCATGGTACCGAACATCAATTATACCTGATAAGAGAGAGAGAGAGGGGGAAGGCTTAGTGAAAGTTTAATGAACATAATTATAAGCGGTGATAGGAGACAGATCAGACTGTGTCAGTGGGGAGTCTGACGGATCGCAGTTTAAAACCCTTTGTCGCAGGTAAAAATAGCAACTTAAGTGTTTCAGCCACGTAATGTTATAAATAAACCCTCAAATCAGAACAAAATGCAAGTGAAACAGCAGCTTTTCCCATGTCTGTCCAGTTCATTCTCACGTCGTCGCTGAGAACAGACAAAGCTTATTTAAGAAGCAGCCAGGCTCTCGTGCTGTTATCTTATTTTTTTTTTTTTCATCTGCTGCATTGGTAAAAGAAAAACGTTTGTGAGAAGGTGAGGTGTTTGATGTGTCTGACTGTGTGATTAATTGTGTCCTGAGAGGTCTTGGTGGACTGGATCAATAAGACTTTGAAAGCAGAGCACATCGTGATACAGAGTCTGGAGGAGGATCTGTACGATGGACTCGTCCTTCATCACCTGCTGGGTGAGACGTTACACGTTTGATGTCCCATTAAATCACTCAATCGTGATTTCAATAACTGGACCGAGAACAAATGAAACGGGCAGTCCCAGAAGCTTAACCCCGAGCTCATAAATAACGTCTTCCTGGTTTCTGCAGCCAGATTAGGCAACGTGAAGCTCGACGTGGAGGAGATAGCGCTGACCGGCTCCTCTCAGCTCCGTAAGCTGGAAGCCGTCATGAAAGAGCTGGACAAGATGCTGGGCGTGGAGGACAGCTGCCCGATCAAATGGGACGTCAAACGTGAGTCGACGCAATTCGACTTGGACTCTGCAACAAAAAAGCAACAAGTGAACAAATGTCCCCTTCTGGCACCGACTTCAGCTTCATTTCACGACAGGCTTTGGTGCTCGCTTGAGGGTGCCATCTAAGCTCACACCAGCTGGAAGGAATTTGAAAAGGGAGATCGAGTTAGTTTGAGGAAAATAAGACCAAGAAAACATGGGAAATTTTCCCAGATTTTATAAGCAAATGATTATCTAAATGTGAAATGTGTGTGCACATATTTTTAGGGCGTCTTCTTTTTGTGATGACGTAACCTGATGATGCAGAGCGATGTGACTCTCAATTTAATCCAGGTGTTACAGAAAAATCTGTGACCCATCATTTTCTGTGACCGCAGGGGGCGGAGGTGCGATTATTCTGGCCAGAGTGATCTGTGACCAGTGTGATTTTAGCTATTTGAGGGTTAAATATTGTTATAAATACACCCAGATTGTAGTGATGAGGTGGTAGAACTCTGAAAAATAGTTGTTTTAAACTTTGACATTATTTACAGGCCTGTGCAATAAGATCACAGATTATTCTAGCCAAAATAATCTGGCCATTTCTTAATCTGTTACCGATTTATTAAATGACCACAGCTGGTTTGCATATTTTAACGATGGCACATAGGGATTCAATGCGATGGTCAGTGTTCAGCCTCAAATACAAAGTAATGCATTACATTTATGGAGAAAATATAATGCATTATTTTGTATATAATCCCAGATGTGTCAGTATTTACACAGTATTTGCACTCTATCGTCCCCTGCGGTCACAGAAAATGATGGGTCACAGATTTTTCTGTAACACCTGTTTTGGAAATTGCAACTAATAAAAATGACAGGGCTCTTTTAGTTTGAGTGTCGCTTGAGTTCAGACTGGTTTCTCGGCAGCCAGAGCATTTTGATACCTCAGCAAACATTATTTTGCCATTTTTCCCCCCCACAAAAGCTGGAGACAGTGCTTTTTGAAGACTAGTGAAGTACACTTTACTGCCTATTTGTTTCGTTTTTTTTCTCAAAGGCATGGTTCTCAGAAAGAAAGATGAGGTATTAATACTCATAAGATATATGAGGTGAGTAATTTTAGCTAGGTAGCTAATTGCTAGCCTCCTACCTCTGGCAGTTATGCTAGCTGCTATGCTCACTGACAAGCTAACTACCGTTAAGCTAAAAGCAATGCAGCTATTTCTTCGTATTTTATGCATTTATACACAAAACAGACATGTTTTCAAGGCATAGGAAGGTTGCAGGTATCAAAATATTACAATTTGCTAAATGTGTATCCATGTTTTCCTTGAGTCATGAAGCCGTTTTTGAGAACATCCCTGAATGTCTTTCTCCAAAATTACCCATTTTAGTTGTGCTTCTGTTGTGTTTGTCCAAGATCCTTTTGGTTTATCTTAGTTGCCACACCATATGTTTTTGAGATCTGTCACATCAGTCCAAGCTGAACTTTTTTTTTTTCTTTTTTGTTTTGTTTTGTTTTCCGTTGTTTGCCTGTCAGTCATCCACAACAAAGATCTCCTAGCTACCATTCATCTGCTGGTTGCCATGGCAAAAGCCTTCCAGCCTGAGCTAAATCTGCCACCTAATGTGAAGATTGACGTTGTCACAGTAGAAGTAAGTCTTTTCAGCCCCGGACCTGCCTGGTGAAATTCCCACACAGCTTTGGCTAACTTTTCATTTTCACGCAGGTAAGCAAGAGCGGAATCAAATCTGAGGTGCAGACCGAAGTCCTGACAGAGGACAGGTGAGTGGATTTCTGCGTCTTGCTTGTGTCTTACTCTGATTTCATTTATATATATATATATATAAAAAAAAAACAGAAGTCATATCACATTTATTTTCTTTTTCTGCAGCAACGCAGGCTCAGGCTCCTCTAGCTATCCTGGAAGTGAGTGAGAGTGGTCAGAGGTTGAGCTGAAGTGACATCTTGAATGTTGTCCAAACACCATTAAAGCCTAACACATTTTTCTGGATGTCTCACCAACCCAGGGGAAGATCCCATTGAGCAACTGCTGAAGCTTGAGGCTACCAAGGTCAACACAGTGAAGAAGGTAAAAAAAAATAAAAAATAGACGACAGGAGGAGACATGCTGGCATTGTTCAAGGTGTTGATGCTCCCAACTTTAGAGATTTGTAAAGTTAATGCATAAAATACACCTCATACTGTGTGGGCTTGTGGTCCGCACTTCAACTTTCACTATAGTGAACAAGTCTGCTTAGTCCTGTCACTGTAACATTTTCTTTTTAGGGATTATCCCATGTTGCAGATCTAAACTACAAAAAGTCCAGTCAATTTAACATCTCTTCACAAAAATAGGCCAACAAGAAAATCATGGACTGTTGATTTTTGAATCTGTAATGTAAAATGATCCAATTAAAGCAGGATGCTTTAGTTAGCTCCACAATTAGCAGTTGATTAGGCGGGACAAGGCTAGGCATGTTTATTAGCACAGCAGGATCCATACACAAGGTCATTCAAAGTGCTAAAAACTGTTCAAGAAAAAGATAAACAAAGCAATAACTGTAATCATTTAAAGATGACATAAAAGGAAATAAACAGTCAAATGCACATTTAGACATTTAGACAAGATAAGTGTCATTTCCTTGACCCACAAAGCTGGCTTACCCTGTTGATGTCAGCCAATGACGGTGCCCTCTGCACCCGGCGAGTCAGGGCTGTGATAAAGGTGGCCTGACATTTGCCCACTTTGGTGCGTCGATCCTTTCACAAAACACTGGGAGGCAGCAAAAAAGGCGCCTTAATCCGGCCTTGAAGTGTTTTGTAAGAGCTAATAACACTTCCAGTCCCGATTTAAAGAATCCAATAGTTTTTGGACGTCGGGTTTACAGGGAGTTCGTTCCAGAGCTGGTGAGCGTAGAAACTAAATGCTGTCCGCGCTGGTCCTTGCAACACTGAGCTAACAAGTCTCTGAAGACACGAGGCGTCTAAAAGGATCCCACGAGACGTTCAGGTCCAACACCATTCCTTGAAGTTCAATAACACCATTTAAAAATCTATCCTTTTACTAACAGGGACTCAGTGCAATCCTGTGGTGTGATCCATTTCCCTGGTGCCGGTCAGGACTGTGGCAACAAGGTTTTGGTTAAGCTCTGATTAATTGTCTTACATATGCCAGTGAAGGCACCGTAAATATGACTTAAAATAGTGAAGCTAAGTTTTCACTTTACACCTTTGGCTTTGTAGGTCTGGGTCTAAAGCCACACCAAAGTTGCTCACATGTTCTGTCATTTTTAGCCTAATTGGATCTAGTAGAGTGCTGATCTCAAACATTTCATTTTGGATACCAAAAAGAAAAAAAAAGCAGACCAAGTGAGTATAAAGGACTTGTAGAATAAAATGTGTCATCAGCATGGTTATGTTAAGCAAGTAAATTTGTAAAAATGGAGCCTGGAGGAACACCGCATGTGATTGTTGTTCACTCAGACACAGCTTTTATAAATGACATAATGAAGTCTTGATTTGCTAAATTAGATGTTTCGCAGTTTCACAAGTACCCATCAACTCTACTGTTTGCCAATATTTTATGACCAGCAACTGCATCAAATGAAGCACTGACATCCAGTAAAAGTAAAGACAGATGCATTTGATGCAAAACTATGTCAGTCTTTGATCTGTGATGTGTTTCAAGCCAAGCTGGCCACGGAAGAGAACATTTTTCATCAGAACAACTTATTTGTTGAAGAGCTGACATTTCAGTTTTCCTCCTTGCCAATAATCTTCATGCTGCTGGACCTCCATGTTTATACGATGTACTGTCATAGTTTGTCTCTCTAGGAGGAAATACTCTGTTTGTCGAACCAAGCAGCCGATGTTGTGAGGTTACGCTGTCATTACTTGTAGATCAATGTCCTATTGACAACCTTAGATGTGCTTGTTGTGCTCAAATGTGTTTCGCTGAGCTTTCTCAACAGGATTGCCTTCAAATCTCCAGGTATTTCTGAGTCCAACTTTCAAAGGACTGTTTTCATCCACATTCTCTAATCTAATCATATGTTCAGTGTTCAGTACAAGTAGAAACCATTCAAAGTGAACTAATTCGAGGTGTCTTCAGGATGCCAGCGATGACTGGCATTTTGATCCTTCACAGGTTTTACTTCTAAGAATACAACGCGATAAAAGGCAAAGAACATGGACTTGGTGGTTTTATCGTCAGAGGAAATTCACACTCTGCCTGTTGCATTAGTTTTTATCGGCTGTTTATTTGGCTGCAACTACAGTTAAACTTTGTGAACTTTAGTGACTTAGCCAAGTGTCTCTTTTCCTTCTCCGGTTAATTTTCAACTGTTTGACCAATTTATTGCGTGACTTTTAGTAATGGCTGCACACAGTAACAGTTGCTACTTTACTATGAGCCTGATTACATCCCCTACTACAGTGGATGGCTTTGGTGACGGCACCTTTACTTACTCCCTCGCTTCTCAACTTCCGCTTTCAGGCCATCTTACACTTCGTCAACCAGAACATGGCATCGCTGGGTCTGCAGGTGGCTGATATGGACAAACAGGTACAATCTGACGGTTCGTTTACTCCAGGCTGCCGAATAATAAAAATAGACTCTACATTTAGCTTGCCTGAGATTTTATCACTGTTCGTATGAACGAGATCCAAAGTCCCGCGTTTCTGTCCCAGTTTGCTGATGGAGTGATATTGCTGCTGCTGATTGGCCAACTGGAAGGCTTCTTCATCCCACTGGTTGACTTCCACCTGACCCCTGCTAACGACGCCGAGATGGTAGGGTGTATGATTTTAAAGTTTGAAGTCTTCTTTTCATCAAATTTCAACATCTTAACATGATTTTTTTATATTTAAAATAAACGGTTGTGCGATGAAGACCTTCACTCTACTAGGATTTCTAAAAACCTTTGCTTTTATGTGTCTTAATTTCTTATCTAACCACTCAAAAACAGGCACAAGTACCTATTATAATGCATGTTTTGATCAAATGCATTTATGCAATTAACATAATAAAGCACTTGTGCCAATATCTTTGATCTTAATTTACGTTGGGCCAACAGGATGCGGCCTGTGAAGGTAAAACCTCTTTTATCTGAAATACGACGGGTTCATGAATAATTCACTGGGGCAACGACATCCGCTAACATCTTCCCTCTCAGACATATAGACGGTAAAATGATAGGAACAAAGTAATCAAAAATATATCTTTGTGTCTGATGTTTAGTAGTTATATGTTAAGGACATTCCACACTCCTATTACCAAGAGTTGGAGGATTTAATTTCAAAAACACAAGGCGTGGCTGCAACTGCAAAATGAAATATTGACGTCATATCGGAACATAATTCGTATTTAAGGAGATAAAACAGGTTTTAAATGTAAATTAGCATTATTTAAACTCACTTTGATAAATATGTTTGTGCTTTGTTTTTGGACTGCAGCTTCATAATGTGACGTTAGCCCTGGATCTCCTGGATGATATTGGCCTGCAGCTGCCCAATATTGACCCGCAAGGTGAGGAAAATGACGTCACTTTCCAGAGGAGCAAAAAACACAATCACAACACGGCACAAAATATTGGCTTGATGGCAGAAAAAAATCTAGCGTCTGTAAAATTACTGCAAACCGAGTCAGATAGCTGAAAGCGCCCCTGCTCCAAGACAGCAGTGTCAAACTAATTCATATTATCTCCTCTATCAGCAGCATTTATCCGGCTGAAATGGGAAAAGCTAAAAATCTGTTTGTGTGTCAGGCGGGACGCTTTGTCCACGGAGAATTTAATCGCTGGAGTGGAGAGAGGGATCGACGGTGTTTCACAGGAAAAAGATGAAATTGTTCAGGGAATATAAATGAGCGTGACTCGCGTCTTAGTATTTATACCTTAAGATGATTTTCTCCGTCTCAGGCCACCATCGTTCCTTTAGAGAGGAGCAGCAGAAAAGGCAGCCTCAAAGGGACAATGTTGTCTTGATGTCCTCTGATAGGAAAAGGGATTTAACCCAGCTCCTCTGCTGCAGGAGCGTTTGCCTGCGAGGAGGAATCCATGTTCATGAGCCGTGCTATCCTGGATATTATTGTTATCGGGCTCAAAATGTTGATTGTATCTGTGTACTATATTAAAAAGAAAGAGTGTCTTTCAACTCCAATTTGAAAATTGCCGTACTAATGATACAATTATAAACCTCTGAATATGAGTTTTTCATCCAGCAAAAAAAAAAAAGATATTTCTCCTTTTGATGCTTCCAGCCAATTTACAGCATGCAATGCTTAAAAAGACAAAACTCGACATTACAGTACATTGGACAAATTGTTTTCTGTTTTTGGTCAAACTGGAATATCAGAATTATTTCTATTAGCAAAATGGCAGAAAAATTTGAGCTTTTTAGAGAATTTTTTTGTACTTTTCTTCAAATTGAGGAGAACTATGCCTGGGAATAATTTGGGAACACACAGATAGTAATTTTATAACTTGGTACGTTTCCAATTAAGGTTAATGAATGCAACATTTGAATTAAATGGTAGCGCACCTGAGGATTTCAACCTCCAACACGCTGCTCACTTTGTGACATCATGGAGCAAATCTTAAAAATATCAGGCAAAATTATGGACCTCGATAACTCTGGTTCATTTTGGGGGACAGTTTTTATCCGTTAAAGTATAAAAACCAGTCAGTAATCATTATGTCTCACAGATAAATGTGTTGTGGTGTGAAATGTAGCTTGAGCTGCAGGCTGAAGCTGTTCAGTGAAACTCATCATTCGCGTTGACACAAGCTGAAAGGCCGCTCCGAGAGGAAGAAGGCATTGCTCTAAAGGGAACATAAAAAGCACAGTTACGGTTTGCAGAAGCACTCATTTGGTAAATATTGAGTTAAATATCTGTGTTTTGGAGTAGCCATTTCAAAACTCGGATCTTAGTCCCGCTGAAGATTTTTAAGCAGATCTGAAAAGGTGTGTGAACAATTCAGTTGTTACCTGACTGGAGGAATCAGCCAAAATTCCTGCCAGCTGTTGCGAGAAACTTCGGGAAGGATACAGAAAAATTAAACAAAATCGATTTGCATGGCTTTGGATGGTTTCACATAATACTGTACAATACAGCAACGTAATGAATCAACTAAAATTTGAGCTCTTTATCGTCCCGTGCAGGGTAGTATTTAACCACTTTATGACTTTTTATTGCATTGAATATAGTTGCACAATAAAACACTGAAGCAAATAATATTGTAGAGAATACCATTAGAAAAATATTCATGATATTTTTATAGTACTGGGTGTTTATTAACATAAAAATATTGCATGACACTGTAAACCACAGGTTACTCTCATGCGGTAAGTAGCAAATATAATCAGTTGCTGTATAACTTTTTTCACTGCAAATAGGAGAACAACGAAGCAAGGGAAACAACCGATATATCGGGACCTGAGTCCATCAGTACCAAACAGATTGATTTGGTATCGATCCATCAATTGGTATTGATGGATACGAATCCTTCAATTACCAAACGGGTCAGTCTTTCCTCTCCGTAGATCCGTTACCGACTGGATGATCTTTTGGTTGAGTTTCAACTTCCCTCTTACAGGCGCTCAAACTCGCCCATTCTCTTCTCCACCGGACGCGCACGGCGCCTTTTCAACCTTAAAATAAATTCCCGGCACTATAACTGATCATGTAAAGACCGGCACGATTAATCTAAGTCCAGAGGTGGCAGTTAATTTAATTCATTTTTACTGTCTTTTTAATTAACGCCATAATTGCTGTAATGAAAGGATGAATTCCAGGACTAAAGGCCTTTAAACGGGAGCATGCTGTGCGTGTTAATTAGATGAGCCAGCGATGGAGTCAATCTTAATGTCACGTTCATTCACTTATTGAGTCCCACCAAGGACAGAGAGATCAAATTTCTGCCTAATGGATTTTTCTTGTCCTCCTGATCTGTTGACCCGCCTGAGTGGATTGTGAGAGGAGCTATTAGCTAATGTCCACAAAGCGTGGTCGCAGTCACGGCGCTTCGACTTGGCCAGGCTGATTACGTAACATTTGTCCTGTGAATATTGTGACAGATATCGTCTCTCAGGACGTCGCCGCCACCTTGAAGGTCCTTTACGCCCTGTTCAGGAAGCACAAAAGGAACTGAGGGAGGAAGACAAGATGAGCTGCTGGAAATAAACAAGAAGATGGGAGGGGAAAAGTGTTTGCTGTGTAATTTATTGCTGTATTTTTGTTTTTTGGGTCGTCGTACAGATTTAGACAAAAACAGTGGGATCTA